GCTGTTATTATTATTATTTCTATATTTATTATTATTATTATCGTTCAGCCCTTCGAATTTTGCGCACGCGTTTTACCCTCTTTCTTATATTACTTCCCCTCTTTTTTTTTATTTTTTTTTATTTTTTTCAATAACTGGAAAAACAACCCTTATTATCGCCATTACAACTGGTTCATTTTCTTATACGTATTCTGAACGAATAACTCATATTTAATTGACAGCTCGATTCAACGTCAATATATAATTATCGATGTGATATGCACGCCAGGAAAGTAATTTTGTGAAAAAGAAATTTTTTTTTTTCCAAAAAAATTATCACGAATCCTTACGTATACCTGAGCATCGACTATCCGACAGTCCATTTAATCACGAATAGCCGTGACCAACGGCGAAGAAAAAAATATTGTAAGAAAAATAAGCCACCCTTAAAAGCAAAATCAAAAACATGAAAATCTCAGTGTCAAATGTCTCTGTAAAATGTTGTCACTGAATGAAAAGAAAATATTCTTCATTAAAATGTTCACTTTGTCTTGAAATTTTTTTTCACAAAAAATCCTTTCAGCCTTATTTCCGGGCCCGTTCACGTCCCCAGTTTTGTCACGCATCCAGGACAGTTCGACGAGTCCATTCGACGACGTCGAGATGCGCCGCGTTCCGACGCCCACATTATCTCACTACAGTTGCCACAACGTCGTCCATGTGTAAGCGAATATCGTTGACAAAGAATGCGGCTTAATAATTATTCTCTCTCCTTTTACTGTATCCCGTAAGTTCTAAGCAGTCTTGATCCGAAGATTCCCAAGTACTTCTTCGTTCGGTAGTAGCGCCAACGACGCCAAGCGTCTCGATGCTCCGTGCGAAGGGTCCACGAGCATCTCTCATGCGAGTGTATTTGTGAGGACTGGCCAATAATAATAACAACAAGGGTATAATTGAAAATACAAAAATTGAAAATAGCTCAGAGTCTCGCGTTATCGCCACTGACACGTGTCCTTATCACTGTTGTCAAACTTTTTCATTTTTCACTCCATAAAGTAAATACACGACGGCCGAATTAAAAATCCGCCATAAGCCGCGTACGTCGCGACGCGGATATATTTTCTCCGTCGAATTACGACGCTTCGAGATTAACAATATTTTGTGCAACCAGGACAAGTACAGCGTCGGTCGTACGCGTTACGACGACGACCCACCTGTGTCCGCTTATTGATTCCGCGACGCCGACCGACGCCCGCGAGAAGGATCCGCGCAGACTCCTTTGCGTTGGGGTAACGATAAGAGCTGATAACGCGCATGCGTTATCCCTACCGATGCGGTTAAATAATTTTCCACGGAAAATATAGAACACGTTTTTTTTTTATTTTTCTAACCTCGAAACAGCTCGGATCGAGATATCAAAAAAATTTTCCAAAATTTCTACATGGAACGTACGATAATAATATGTTAATCGCGAATCAATATATATTCATACGTTACTATTACTACGTCAATTATTTTCAACATGGACTCGTCTTACCAATTAATTTTAATGGGGAATATTGGAAATTGATATATTATTATGATACGTCTCAATATTCATTTGCGAAACTATAACGTATCCTCCGTGTTGAATTTTATCCCTCGAGGTTATCTTACTCCCTTGCTCATTCGGTTTTAACGACTTTCTAATTGGCTCGGTTCCACCCCACCTGTCGTCCCGCTTACTATACGGCAGGATACCCCCGGTCCATAGGTGGGTACACATACGTGGCATGTGTGTTTCTTCAGCATGGAAAAGTATTTCGCGCCTCTATTTAACGTTAGGATCTAGATAACACTGATTACTTCTTTTTTCGTATCTCCTCAGGTTAGGTCAGGTTAGGTCAGGTCGTATACTCCAGTTGACTTTGGTCGATAAAGGGGGAGACTGGTATTTAGTAGATTTGCTAAAAGTCGTCTCTTAACGTGCTGTTTGAGAAATAAAGTGCATGTGGACTTTACTTTTTTTTTCTTTTTTTTTTTCCCCAAGTACAAACCCTTGGTAAACGGGTTTAAATCGTTTATTCGCATGTGAAAGCTCAGAAGAGCTCTCGTTATGGAGGTCGTGAACTATTTTCATGATTTCGCGTATATAAAACTACGACAGGGGATGGTGTGGGGGTAGGACGAGTGTAAGGGGGTTGGTACCCTAGAATTTTCGCGCGTGTAAATGTAGAGGGTGGCTGAGGGTCGCGAAAGCAAGGGTGCGTGGGATAACTTTTGTTTTGTTTTTTCTCGGGGGATGCTTTATAGGTTATGTTGACTTGCCTGTTCAGCTCGTGGTCTGATCTTCTCATCTTGCTCCTTAGACAGATCCTCGACCAGCTCGTGGAGGAGACGTATGTCCTGGGGGCTGGGGGAGTCCACCCTGCCAGCCCCCACGCTCATTGCACTGTGGGGCGCCAGTTCACAGGACTCACCCCTATCCAATGCCCCCAGTTCACTCGCGATATCCCAGCAGCCCTTACGAGACAACCCCTGGCCACTGCCAGTCAGCCCTTCTTCGTCGGCATCGCTCATTTAGGGCATTCGGGCAGCTTCCTTCGTCAGACCCTCCGCTTACGTCAAACACACCCTCCGACCCTATTAAGGGTTGTTTCACCCCAATCTCCTCTTAAAGATCTTGACCATTCAGATACTCGAGTCCTGCTTCGTGGATAAATTTATTAAATCCTATATCGACTTCACCGGGCTAACGAAATTAATTCATCGGGCATTTTATTTCGTGATCTTATCAACCCCCTATCGACCCTTACTGCCGGCAAGGGGAGATAAAGTATTTACGAAAAAAAAAAATAATAATTTCATACTACATAGGACAGAGGGGTGAATTGTCACTGTGAAGAAAAAAACTACCCTTAAGACATTTTCGGGATACCCCACAAGACGAAATGGCTCGTGACGTTACTGAAAGTCTTTACCACCCCTCTATATTATTGTATTCGACTAACTTGACAATATTCAACCCCCCCATGTAGAGGGGATGGACATACGGAGCCCGGGACATCGATCGTTCGCGATTTAAGCAAGGAGGACTCGGGAGGCGCACATAACGCTCGATTCTAGCTGCTGTTTTCACTTAGGGAGGGATGACGTGGAGGCGTCGCGACGTACCGACCGACCCCTATTGCTTAGAAATAATGTAACTCGACCCGTAGATAGTCGCACACGGCCGTAGAGTCCTCGTTTCTCGATATTCATAACCAGTGCGACTGCTAGATCGTATCAGATTCTTGTGCGAATTTTATCTGCAACCCTTAAAATACATCCCGCTATCGCCTATCTGAACTGTAGTCATGCATCGCCATGTTGTAATAAGGTGACACAAGGAACAGGGTGCACGTGTGCAATTGACTACTCTGTGGCACAAGGACGCCACTCATTGATTAGAGACCCGACTACGACCTTGACTACGAGCAACGTAGCACCCCAACCTTCCCCTAGGAAAACTGTACCACGTCCTACAATAAACTGCTTAACCGAACTGGTGCTGAAGTACACGTTTCTGCTATCTCTTATAATTATCTTTAAAGGTTTATCCGTATTCTTCCTGTGTGCCGTATGGATATTCCACCCTTGGGACGTGAGCAGGATTTAACGAAGAGCTGAACTAGGGGGTGACACGAGCCAAGGAAGATTTTTTATACTGACGTTTTAGCCGGAGGCACGACGCGATCTAGGCGAATCGAGACTGACTACTGGGACTCAAATATCTTTTTTTTTTTTTTTTAATGGGGATGAAAACGGGGGTTGGCACCGGAATTGGAATGGAATCGGATCATCCTAGTGGGTCAGTAGATTTTTGGCACGTGGCCCGCCACTCGGACGGTAACCATTGATTTCTTGGCGTATGTGAAAAGGAAGCGTGGAGATATGTATTTCGTGAGTTGGCGCGATGACTTTTTTTTAAGGGGATGAAAGGGGAGAGGGCGGAGCAACGTTCATGTAATTGCCAAGGATTCCAATAGGGGGTTGGTATTCTAACTCGCGAAAACGTGATGGAATTTGAAGAATGCGTACCTTGTAAATCCACGATGCCAAGAGCAGAAAGTTATTTGAATATTTTACAATGGGGCTTTGATGTGGAGATAATTTTTTTTAAGGGCGCTGGGGGTTGCGAGTGAGAATTTTGATTGTATATAAATAGTGCAAAACTGGAACTACCCTTAGTGTAATTAACCAGCGGACTAGGATAGGTTATACCCCGATGAAAAAACGTTTCTAAAGCGAGCCTGTTACATTTTGACAATTTACAAAATCACGAGTATGAATTTCCTGATAAACCTCAAGGAAAAACGTGATAAACACTTTCAGTAATTTTAGCCTTCCCTGGGGAAATGTCTTATTAGGAAAAAAAGGGATAAAGTAGAACAAAATAAAGCTAGAGTTAAAATTCTCAAAAACTCACGAACCAAATTCCCATTTGACGACATAGTTCAAGGCGCCGCACATGTGATCCCATAAAACGAACATCACTGTAGTGCTTCCCAGAAAGCAGCTGAGCTGCCAAGTTAAAGAAAAATCACTGCCCTCCCTTATCACGTGCACAAAATAAAGTATTCCTCGAGGTGCTTTATTATCTTACCAAGCGTCCCGACGACTCTAGTAGTCGTGACGGGACGCGAATTCACAAAATTTTCACGAGCACGCAAAACCCTCGACTTCTGCCTTTGTTTTTATTCGCGAGTAATGCCACCTTTACTCGCTGCTCGACGGCAATTAACGGTAGATCAATAGGGATGATAATACCCTACGACTTATCGAGGGATACGATTGCTAATTTAGGCGTAGAGAATTTAGCGCGGCTTACATATCTATGTAAGGGTTGTTCCTTACGAGAGGATATGGACGGATACAGTAGCGACGGTGCGTGAGTTCTGACAGAACAGCGCGAGGGACACTGCGACACTGCGGGCAGCGCCGCGTAGTGGCAGTTACTTCAAACACTAAGTCAACTCCTCCTTTGAACAACCTTTCTGACACGAACCACCCGACAACACGAACACCTAATTATTATCTACAATCGTGCCGATGAATTCTCACTTGCTCCGTTTCTTACTTAAATTCGCTGTTAACATTGCGAACACCGATAAGCCCATCACTTTGTAATAAAAGGTAATAATTAATGTCCGAATGTAATTCATACGTTAAAACCGGTACGCATCGTAAACTACGGTACCGGATGAAGATACAAATTTATTTTTCTTTAAAATCCGCCAGATGGCAGAAGGCTCGACTACAACACAATGGCTTAGCGTATTGCGTGTCGAATATTCATAAAGAGACGGTGTCACGAGATACGGTAAGGTTTTTTCATATTTTTTAATCCTACAGTACATTCCTTATTCTTTTACCTAGACCACGGGGTAAAATAATAGAGTAAGTTAGCACGATTCGACCAGGAGAGGTCACTCCTTCATCACGGTCTTGCAAATATAATTGCGCTGACAAAAGTCACACGCAGTTTTAAGGTAATGAGAGCTTTTTTTCCGAGAAAATATAAAACACAATACAGACCTAATCTGATGAAGATCATGACAATTCGTGATACGAACGTTTATGGATAAGAATGTTTCTTAAGCATATAGTGCATTATTTTTAACAATTTTTTTGGCCCTGCGCCATCTGGTACTGCGTTTCCTTAGCCGAACACACGATCTAACCATTGCCATCTCTAGGAAATATTATTCACCCACATCCACATCTGCATACGAGCTGGAAGCCTCCCAAACGCGACATAATTCTACTTCGCTTGTCCTCGGTTCTGGGCGAATTGACAGAGTGAGTTATTAGAGCTGACAGGGTGACGGTTCAATGGCGTCACTCCGCATCCACCATTTTTTCTTACTTGATCATCATTGATCCGAATATTATATTAATATTAACCTAGATCGACTCACCTGTATACAATTTCAAGTAAGTCAATGTGATAAGGCCCTCCCCGAAAAAAGGGGCAAAATAATATAGAAAAATTCAAAATATAACTCCCTCTGGTTATACCTCTATAAAATAATTTGTTCAAATGCAGTATACGTTCTTTTGGTAGCGTCATTGATTTTTTGAAATTTCAACTAAAGAGGCTCCATAAATTTTATACGACAATAACGGCAATACTGATAATCGTATAATAATAATATGCAATTACTCACCTGCGCCACCTTCTCCCCCATGTTTGGCGTGTGCATTGCTCCTTGAAAGTATTTTGCAGAACCGTTATCTTGTAGGGAGAACTGCAATTTTATTTAAAAAAAAGAGCAATATTATTATTAATAAATAAAAGGATAATAACATCAATTGCGCGGTATGGCGAAGAAAAAGAGTTTTCATGTTACCTTGTGTTTTATGGCGTCCGGTCCCATTTGACTGAGCGATGGGGACTTTCGATCCTTGGACGTCCGCCATCTTTGTAGATCGCTTTCGGACGCGACGCCAGGAAATATCTTCGAGTGTTTTGCAGCTAAAATTTAGATAATTGATTCTTCAATGTATTTATGTCAGATTAGATCAATGCAAATGAGTGAATATTTTGTTCTCGTACTTTTGAATTCCTTTCTTTTTTGCAACTGTCAAAATTTGTATTTTCTTCGACGCTCTCCAAGGATATTTTTAGTTTTTCTAATTCTAAGACAGAGACTAGGGTGGATCGCTTAGTCATTGGCCGTGTACCAGTAATCGTCAGTTGTGTCATAATATCGTAGTTTTGGCTATAGTCAAAACACACATTGACGATTACTACAATAGTATCTTTTTTTTATTCTATCTTAACACAGGAGAGGAATCCCTTCATCTACAAGGTTCAGAGTGTGATTCGCATTGATCTCTGTATGTACATACATAGCAGTGTATATTAGTATATGAATTTATATGGATAAATCAACAAACAAGTAAATCAATCCGCACTAGAAGCTGCAAACCTGGGAAATAGAGAGTTATGTCGTTCAAGATATAATCTTGATGAGAAATTAAATACATGTTAAAGGTGCTCTGACATGACCGCATGTGGTTCACGGAGTTGTATTCCACTTTGAAAATTGAATAGACAAGTATCTGAGGGTTTTTGCGTTTTGTCCCTTGGAACCCCAAAACTAGTTGAAAACTTTTATTGTACGATAATTTCAGCACACCCTGTATACGTGTATAGAATTGAAAATCGCTACACTCGCAAAAATCAATCCAGGCGAGAAGCCGCTAAAGAATTTTCAATTTGATGACTTTTGTACAATGAGGTCGTCTTGTGGCGTCACTGTAATAAACGTTAAGTATGTAAACATGATAAATTTCCGAAATCCTGTAGGAAGTCGGGGAAGCCTACCCGTCCCCCAAAAAACTGAATAAATGATAAATTGAAACGACCTGTATTTCGCGTAAGCCACATGACGTGTCGTAAGCCGTGAGTCAAGCCAATGAACACCCCATAAGTGAATAAATAAGCGTTAATAACTAATACAAAAGAACTGTCACCTAACGACATCGGTCGGCCAGCCACGTCCATTTCTTTATAACAATGGCATTAAATGAGACAAAACAAAATGGTCTGGTGGATATGCCTGCCAACTTAGAAACAAAGAGTACAATCGTCCATTTTAAAAGACAACGAAGAGTCTAGGAGCGCGGCATGGTCGTTCGAATGAGAACTACAGTGCTTTTAGCAGTCGTAGAATAGAAAGACAAATTGAGGGAGAAGCGAAGTGTTTTTTTTTTCTTAATCCTGAATAGTAAAGGAAAAAATCGAGTGCACCGTAACAAAGGAAGAATTTCATTCGCGATTTAAAAGGATTCGTGGTTAGGTGTAAATTGGCCCATAAAAGCTCATTCGACAGAAACACGCGTCGATAAAGTAGAAACGCAAAGTATGAGGATAATCGAGACGAACAGAGTTTTACAAAAGTTAATTTAAGTTTTAAGGAGAAAGTTTCTTCTCACAAAAGCTTCGTACACGCACAGCACTTATCGAGACGTACCGAAAGCTTGCAAAGTTAAAATTTATACCAAGAACATTAGCACGGACACGAACCAAACTTCCGATCAATCCCCATAAGCGCTGTTCGCGCTTATGTATTTCAAGCCGCAAGCGGGTTGATAAGTTAGGGGTGCAAGCTTGCCGGCAGAAAACCGTACGCCGCAAGCCGAGCCTTTGCGCTCATCCTTAGTTTTACCTTCAATGAGGTTACCGACAGTCGCTGGACGTCGCTCGAGGGTGACGTGTTCGCTCCCTCGACCCGCTACTAAAATATTTGAGGTTTGATTTTGGAATAGCACATGACTACCGATCGTATGTAACACGCCTTTCAGCCGGTATTACCTTAGATTAAAAATATGACCAAGAAAGAATGAGAGAAGGGAACAAAAAAAACTCTACAAAATCTCTACCTCCTTCCTCTTGCACTCTCACGCTGCTCAAATCAACAAATACTCAGTCGGTAACACAAAACTGGCAAATTACGCCATTCAAACGCATTACAAGTAATATACATTGACGTAAACATGAAAATTCGAAAAAAATCAAATAAACAAACTCTTACAGACGCTGCAGGTTAAGCTGCGACATGGTGCCCGGACCACTTCCGGTTTGACGACCCTCCTTGATATCGCATCAAGGGATGCTGCGTGAGAGACGCTTCTTGACGGACCTTCAGCAGCCCCTCCGGACGAAGAGTTCACCGGACCCTCCCAGATTCCAGATTTCTGCGACACCTATGAATAACCATACAATTAAATCCTTGTATAAATTTCGCTATGCAGTTTGGATAATCGTGCAAGATAAAACGGTATCACGGTATAAAGAGAGGGTTAATTAATTTTCATCCCCTTTCTATTTTCCCTCCCTCAATTCTATCTCTTCGCAAAAGAAGAAAGAAAAAAGCGACAGACCTTACATTTTCTTGCTCTCCCCCAACCGATACCCTTAACCCCGTCCAAAAAAATGAAATCTCTGATCACGTCCCTTTAATTCCATTAGGGGTTGTTCGATAGCGGCCGATTTCATTGGGTTCTCGCGAAAATACGAACTTGCTAGCAACGACCAAGAATTCTCATCAGACTAAAATATCATCGTCCCTTGGGCTCGATTCGAACTCCTAAAGTGTCATTCACACGTCGCGTTCTTCGTTTTCTCAATCAAGTTTCACGAGCTGTCGTCAATCCCAAAAAATAAGAATTATCACAAACAAGAACTATATACTCACATCGCTAACCCCCTCGGGACTAGCTATAGGAGCGGTGCTACCAGGATGAGTAATCTGCCCGGTACCGGATGAGACATTGGGCCCACCGGTGACGTTGGTAGCCATCGGCGGTGGTGTCCCTGTCCGTCCTGGGCCCCAGGACTCCATCATAGTGGGCGAGCCGCATGTCAAAGGGCTATGAGAAAAAGTTATGATAAAAATTAAAAAAACAATAAAGTCAACATGCATACAATTTACACAGTCATGTACAGGGTGTCTAAAATATGTTGATATTAAATAAATTAGAATCACTGTACCAGGGTAGTTGCGTGGTGAGGGGGGTTTGGCTGGTGGTAACTACTGTGAGGTTGAACGGGGTGGATGAGTTGGAGGTAGACTCGGAAAATGATCAATACACGTTGCAACGGAGGTCAACCCTAGCAAGTGGAGTGTGTCAGTGTTAGGTCAGAGTTTGCCAATCGATAGACAAACTCAAACCGCAACGCGACACATGCGAGTCAACATGAAGAACCGATGACAGCGGTCGGGAGTTTATTTTATTGACGTTTCAGCGATAAAAGGAAAATAAAGAAAACCATTAGTTATCTAAGTGTCACTTTCGACGCCGTACTTTTCTACCCTGATCCGACAAGCTCGACGAACCCTGAACCACCCCTATTCGATAGTGCCTATGAGATCCGATTCGCCTACGTGTAGTAGCAACGTCGTTCGAGTGTACCTGGTGGTACCCACCAGGTATTCAACGTCGTAACGCACGAAATCCCCAAGGACTTCAACCCCCTTGTCAGCGCGGAGTTCACGGACTAGAAATTTTTATTCGATTCACTTGCAAATCGTCGTAAGGAATTAAGTGGTGATAAAAATATTCAGCCTGTCAAATAAAATTTTTTGTTGGGGGGACCAAACAGAAAAATCCAATCGTATCTTACGCGAATTAATCCTCTAGTAAAAATCGGGTCGGTAAGGTAGTAAACTTCTATTGCCACAGCGAACGGGGAGTTAAGGTGTTCAATCATGGGGTGGGGGGTCTAAAAAGAAAAAAAAAAGAAAAACAGTCACGGTAATAATTACTGCCTCACGACCCGGCGTGAGGGGGGGGGGGGGGG